TTACTTGGTAAAGAGCTCCCAGTGCAAACATTCTTCCATTTTTTTATTTTTTTATTTTGTTTCCACAAAAGAAAGAAAGTCATATTAGTTTGAAATGACACCCAATGGTTTTTGGGTGAAGAAACTGGGATATGTAGATAAATTAGCACATTGAAAACTCATTCATGCTGTTAACACAGAGGAAGCAGCACATTAAAAGTCAAACCAAAAAAAAAATGATATGTTCTAATTGAAACTCCAATGGACTGTGGCATCATCCATGGTTGCCAAGGAGTTACATAATCTTATTGCTATGTTGCTATGGTAACAATGCACGTCTACAGCCACATGTGGGGTGGTTTACTCATACTCGCCAGATGCTTGCACATGAATGCTAATCATCATCTGCATGCTCTTTAATATCAGAAATGCTGTAGTTACTGTTTCCCAGGCAACAGAGAACTTGTGAATAGACTTGTCTGTTTATTCATAAGTTGTCATAATTGAGTATGCAGAGAAAAGCCTCTAAGTGAAGATAATTCAAAATTTTTACATTACTGCATTAGCTTTAATACTGTTAAAGTTGCTTACTATGAATTTTAGTCCAATTTAAACCCTAAAAACTGTTCTTGGATCAGTAGCCTGCACTGACCTCTCTGTGGACGCCCGTCATGAGCTGCCTCTTCAGACCCTCATAGATCATGAACTGCACAGCTGGATTGAGCACCAGCAGCAGGGAGGGAAACGTCCCGTTCCATAACGCACCCACTCCTTCCTGCTGCATGATCTGTACAAACGCATCTAAAGAGAGACAGATCACCTAATATCATCACTGGACACACATTTGAATTAAAAGGAAAGAAATTATGTTCACTTCTTTTAATAATTACCAGTAATTCCTTTGTAGTGTGTGGGCTGTATGTCTTCATTTCTGAATTTCGCCCCTTGCAGTTTCAGTCTGGTATTGACTACCCAGAGTGGAGTGGTCACAAGAACATTCACTACACCTAAAGGTAGACAGTTTTTTTTTTTGTTATTTTAGTCTTACCACATATAAAAGAAGATATTTTGAAGAATGTAGGTGACCGAACAGTTGCTGGTAGCCATTGACTTCCATAGTATGGAAAAAATACTATTGGAAGTCAAGGGCTGCCAGCCAGCAAGTACATTCTTCAAAATAGCTTATTTTGTGTTCAACAGATGAAAGAAATTCATACAGGTTTGGAACACCTTGAGGGTGAGTAAATGATGACAGAATTTTCATTTTTGGGTCAATTATCCCTTTAATAAAGGTTTTTATTATTATTAATGTTGAAAACAGATTTTGCTGCTTAATATTTTTGTGGAAATCATAATTTTAAGGATTCACTTTTTATCAATTCAGTGCATCATTGCTGAATAAAAGTATTTGTTTCTAAAACTTGCACACCCCAAACTTTTGAATGGTAGCATACCATGATTTTCACAAGAAAAAAAGCAGCATAAACTATTAACATTTCACAGTATCAATGTTTTTACTCCATTACAGCGTTACTACTGTAATCACAAAATATATACGACAGAAACCTTTTATTATTTTTGCCATTTAATATTTTTCAAATAAGCAAACCTGCAGCAATGCCAATTATTAGGTCTCGCCCTGGTGTTGACCTCTGACCTTGCAGCCAGGTGGCCTTCAGACTATGGAAACAATAGAAGTAGACAAAGTTTGAGCAACAGAGGCTGCAGATCACTGGAAACCAGCCTCTATATGGAGCTAACCTAGAGAGAGAGAAAGAGAGAGAGAGATTAAAAAAAAAAGATGGTTATGACTGCAACCTGAAATGAGAAAGACTTTTCAGCACAGATGACACAAAACAAAGCAATACATGTGAAATAACTTACAGACCCTCCTCCTTGATGATCTCTGACAGAATGGCTGGAGAAGATTTCGTTTTACGCTTATCATCAACTGTGCAGGAAAAGAAAGAAATGCGGTCACATATTTTAAAACATTAACAAAAGAAATCTCAGCAGCACAGATAAAAAAAAAGGGAATATAAACGTATGCGCTTTACTTTTTACCTTGCAGCCTGAGCCGGGCTGTGTCAAGAGGAAAGAAAACAGTCATTGCTGTAACACTGCCCTACAAACAAACAAATACAAATCAACTTTCAGAAGACAAATAACAGAAATTAAAACAGAAATGCAGGAAGAACTGTCTGTGTTGAAATCTGAACTTCGAAAGAAGGATGAACTTATAAATAATATGAAGGAACAACTTCTTCATGTTTCATCGTCCAAAGGATCTCACGCTAAACACCTGACCTGTCTAGAGACCCCCACTGACAATCAGCAATCCCCTGCAGCGGATGAGCCTCGCTCTTCATCAGATCCACAGACCAAAGCCCACCGCACTGCTCCACACAACCCTCATTCCAAATGTTCACCTGGCTTACCATAAAGACATTCGGCCCCATCATATGTAAGACTACATACACCTCAACAAGAAAGGAGTCCAACTTTTCGCAAGAGTGCTGAAAAGCACAGCATTTGGTAAAACAGGAAACAGAAATCTACACAGCAAGAGCAGCTCCCAGCCACAAAGAAACGTCCCCCCTCCTCCAAGAAGCAGACAGGACTCGACCCCTGGAGCACCATCACAGAGCTACGCCGCAGCAGTCCAACAGCCACAAAACCCTGCAGCCGCAGAACTCAATCATATAAGACACCTGCTCAACATCATCTGCTCCAAACTGGTCAAATAATGTACAAGAGCAATACCTACACACACACACACAAGCTTCCGGGTCCGATTTAGCCAATGGAAATGCTTGTAGAAATTTCCTCGACGATGATTGGACAAAAGTTGCACTTGACCTCGCGTTCTTTAGCCAATCAGAAACTTAAACCGCTTCCACAGCGTTCAATAAAGGGGAACTGTAAGCGAAAATGTAGATTATTTACGCTGAGTGGACACTTGGAAGGGGAAGTAAATATGCGTTTCTTTTTTCAAATCCTTATAAAACAGTAATACAAAAATACTCCAACTGGTCTTTATTGGAATATGCGTTATGAAGTTCAGTTTATGGAATAAAGCAGCTGAAAATAAGATTCCTGTACCATCTGACAGAGCTAAAATGAAATACATAAATAATCATATTAACAATAAATAAATGCAAGATAAAAAAAAACAAAAAAAAAGAATTTGTTTGTTGTTAAAAAAAAATAAGTAGATATTAAATAACAGATACTGTAAAAGCCTTGTCTCAGACTACAGTGAAAAAAAAGTATCTTGACTGGTTCACATGTAGCATTATTTCCAGGTTTGTTTTCAAATGTTGACGGTTTAATCTACTCAATTTCAAAGCTGTAGGGGCATTTTTCTTTGGAACAGAAAAGCACATGCCAAGCACACTCTATATACTTGACTAACATGTTGAACTAGTCCTGAGCCTCAGTGAAACCCTTGTCAAAATTAAATGAATGCATCTTTCAACAAGACCAGCCCTCGATACCTGTGTGGATTATATTATACCTACCTTCAAACAGAAAAAAAACCTCTTCATTGCAGATGAAAACAGCATATTTCCGAGAGACTCAAGAGTGTTAGTGCTGATCGGTGCATATGCATTATCAATGAACAGGTTTAAAAACTCTAAACTTCAACTGTGGTAAGTTTTTTTTATTCTTTTATCCTTGATTTTATACTTTGATGCAGAGTGAAACTAAACTTTTCATAAATACCAGATCAGAGACATTTAGCTTGTTTTAGGCATAAATCATACAAGTTCAAGTTCATTTTATTTGTAGAGCACATATACAACAGCCATCAGGCTGACCAAAGTGCTTTCCAGAAGAGCAACAATTTTACCACATACACAGAGAACAAACCAGACAATTTAAAAATGACCATATCACAGTAGTAAATACACTAAAGAAAACAAATACGTTTTTAGCAAGGACTTGAAAACAGACAAAGAAGGGGCCATTCTAATCTCTAAAGGTAGGGTATTCCAGAGTTGTGGCCCTGCCACTGCAAATGCACGCTCCCCTCTACGCTTAAGCCTAACGTGAGGGACCACCAACAAGGCCTGGTCACAGGATCGTAGGCTTCTAGACGGAGTATAGAAGTAAAGAAGGTCAGATAGATAGACAGGAGCTTGGTTATGTAGGGAGTTATATACAAAGAGGAGAATTTTAAAGTCTATTCTCTGACAAACTGGCAACCAGTGTAGAGATCTGAGAATTGGAGTGATGTGTTCATGTTTACGACACTTTAAAAGAAGTCTGGCCGCAGCATTTTGGACAAGCTGAAGACGCACAATTTGAGATTTAGATATACCGCAATATAAAGAATTGCAGTAATCTAGACGAGACGTAACGAACGCATGAACAGCCATTTCTAGAGTTTTTGGAGTGAGAGTTTTTCATTTTAGACCGTAAACGAAGCTGATAGAAACTGGACCCAATGACAGAAGAGATATGTTTATCAAATTTTAAATGCTGGTCGACTAGAAATACCTAGATTCCGCACCCGCGAGGATCTAAAAATGGATAAACTTTCTAACTCGGGTCTTATACACAGAGTTATAATTTGAACTGAAAACAATTACCTCGGTCTTGTCTTCATTTAGGAAGAGGAAAAGAGGAAATTGCCATGATTTAACCTCCTCTAAACATTTCAGAAGAGAAGTAATCGCAGTGGAATTGCTTTTCTTGATTGGTTGATTGGTTTGAGTGTCATCTGCATAGAAATGAAAACCCCATGTTTTCGTAGAATAGAGCCCAGAGGTAACATGTAAAGACAGAATAGTATGACTCCAATAAGAATTTTCACCAGAAAATGTCATCTGAACAAGTAACATGTCTGCCACTTTTGTTCTGACCAACTGAGGGGGAAAAAAAGCATTACAATACATTGCACTAACAATGGTGATTAAATCTAATGATCGCTTAGCTCATATCACATCAAACCATGCAAATTATTATTATTGTTGTACTTCGTTCTCAAAATGTTAATGTTGACATCAGCATTGCGTGACTACATCTATTTAGTGTGTATTAGCGTTACCTGTAGACTACTGGTGAATCTCCAGTTAACCTTTCTGGATTACAATCCACCATCAAAATGATAAATCAATTATTACAGATGCTGTGAGAAAAGGCTATAAATGATCCGCCACCTGCAGCATCCTCACATTCGATATAGCCTACTAGCCGGGACTCCTTCTTTATGTTTACAGAGGTGACGTAATGATGCAAAGACGAACGGCGATATGCTTGTATTTCCAGCGTAAGCCTACCAGTACCACTCAAATTAGAAAACCTTATTACAAGCTTACCGTTGTGGATCAGGCTAAAATAAGGAGAACGTTTTGAACACTGGCTGGTTATATACTTGCCCAAACATTTATTTGGATCATTTTTTACCCAAAAAAGTTACAGACTGCAGCTTTAATGAAACGCAAATTAGTTCCCCAAAAAGTCTCCTGAGCTTTGAAAGACCACCCTCTGGGCAGCAGAAGTTTCCTCTGGGAATGCAGTCTTGTTATGGAAGACACATTACAAGCCATATTAGGCCGCCAACTACTTCTCCTCACTCTCCCAGCACATGAACGCCAAGCAGAAGCGAGGGCTGAACTGAACCCATTCTGGACCTGGTGACCGAATGCAACTGAAATATGTTTTGTTTTGGGGTCTTGTACAAGAGCTGACCTATCGGCTAAACATGCAGTTTCCATGGCAACTGTTTGAGGATAGCAGGTGGTTTTGTAGAGTAAATAAAAGACAAATGACAATAAACACAATGAATAAGCCCATCTCCCACACATGTAAAAAGCTTTCCATCACAATGTCATTTCCCTACTGGTTCGATGCTCTCTTTGGATTTCCACTGTACTACAAGAGCAACTTGAAGAATAAATAAAAGACAAATGACAACAAACTATGAAAAAGGACAAGCTCATCTCCCACATATGTAAACAGTAATTTCCTTCAGCTTGGTGTTTTTTTTAGGATCTGCATTACATTAAAAGAGCAAGTTAAAAGGACGGTCAACCAAATATTCTGTCAGTATTAACTCATACCTTTCTTAACCAATAGTTATCCTTTAAAGTTTATTTGAATCTACATGCAACTTCTCATATGGATCACTTTTGGCAAATGTGGTCACTTGTATGGAAGTCAAGAATGAAGATTATTTTACTAATGTGTTCCATACAGGTTAAAAATGACATAACGGGGGGGGAGTAAATCATGACAATTTTAATTTTTGGGTGGAAAGGGACACACTTATTATGAGGGTGCAAAAATATAAATGGATCAGATCATAAGGAGATATAAGAGTTTTATAAGAATAAAACCTTTTCCCCAATACTCTTGAGGGGACAAATGTCATAAAAGAGACAAAAGTATCTCCACAGGGCCAGATGGAGCCACATCTTATACTAATTTTCCCCTCAAAAACCGTCCTGCTTCCTTCCTGTTGGGGCTGAGTTATGTTTCCTTAAGCTTTGATTGTTTTTGGAATTACTGGTTTATTTTCGGTCATCATTTCTGGTGAAAATGATGTATCAGATCAAGAGATCAGAGTAGACGTAACAGGGCGTCACAATGAGGAAGGAAGGATGCAGAAGTTTTTAGATGCCTATTGATAATGGCATGCAGTTTCCACTCTGAGCACCAAACATTCAAAGCATTCAGCTTCAATACAAGTATCTAGTACAGTGCAGCGTATCAGGTCTCTGAGCGGGCATAAATTAGTGAGTGCTTTAATTGTCTTTCAGGGTCAATATACAGGGCTGCACATTTTGAAGGGTTACCTTTAGAAGAATCTTCTATCAGCATTAGCTAATAACCATTTCTGCTTGGTCATATAAATGGAGCGTAGCGATAGTTCTGGCAGGCCATGTTAGTCAGCTTACATCAGCTGATCCACGTCTACCTATAGGATCACGACACCAATCATAATTCCCTTCATAAGGTCCCTTCAGTCATTATTCAGCAGGTATCGCTTCGCTCAGGAACTAATCACCCACCTCCATCCCCAGCTCCTCCTCTCGTCCAGTCAGGACTTGGCAGTGAATATATCATTGAGTCAGACAACTGAATCATGTTGTTAAAATAATCACGTAGAACATTAATGGTATCTGCTACATTTATCATTGATGTTGGTTCTGTTCTGTTACCCTAGGGGGGGGTATTCTGCTCTCCCTGCTCCTATCCATGTTAGGCTGCGTGGATGGGCAGGGAGTGCTTGCCCAGAACAGAACCATTCCCCCAACCTAAAATGTATGCTAATCGTAAGTTATATTGACAATAGTGGTCCTGACAGAAGTACTATTTCGTGTCAATTTCAAAATCTAGAAATTACTCTGTCAGTATATGTATACATAATTGATTACTTAAAAATTGATTGACAGTCTTTTAACAGGTCAATGAAAGATCAATGCACCTGCTGGTATCGCAATTACGTTTG